CAATAACCAAGGGCTATTGTGTTGTTATCTGGCTCCTGAATCCACTTCGTTAATGGACGAAGCTATCATCAGCAGCATCCATTAACGACTACTCCTGGTAGTTATCACTTAAGCAGTGTTACAGGAGATAAAGGTCAGGTTGGGCGTGGGAGCACACCGTCACACTGACGTGGTAGAAGGATGGACTTGGCAACTGAGCTGATATTGTTAAGAAAATAAAAAATGGAACATTGAATACAAATTTGATTTTGAAGATGTTTGAGGATCTGTTTTCCTTTATATACCTATCAAGATACACTGTTATTGCTCAAACGATAGGGAGCTTCTTCCACTGCAAAACTGACTCTTACTTATTTTTCTTCACTATACAGAAGTCTTGCAAATAGTGCAAAATTGATTTTTTTTTATCTCCAGGTTCGAACAAAGTAGGATGTGTGTGTGATCAGAACACCTGTTTTTCAGTCAGTACAAAAAGGTTTCTTTGGTACTTGGGCTACCTGGGTAAATTATTTGGGAGCAGTGAGATGGAGGAACGGTGGAAGTAGACTCTTCAAAGATTTAATTGTTAAAAGGCATGGTTGATCTGTATTAAAACTCTTAATCAGTTTCTAAAGGAGTAAGTAATGTTGTGAGTCTGAATATTGGCATGAGAATTGAGGAAAAACCACAGGGTATAAGCCTTAAAGTAATGTTTAGTGTCTTTGAAATCATGAGAGAGAAAGGGGCACGCTGGGCCTGTGTACCCAAAGATTTAAGCCTTGTCCAAATTCAAGTTTATCATTGCTGAGCTTTGGAATGAGATAAGCTTGCTCTGCTGATTTCCTGAGGTTCTTAACCAGTTTTGGTCTTCTCTGTAGATACAAAACTGACATGACTGTATCTAAAAGCTTCCCCCCGTACTACTTTTCAGTACAAATCGTACCTTTCTTATCTCCCCTTATATTATCTCCAGTACAACAACAGTAATTTGTTGTTATACCACCTCAAAGGAACACGGTCATCTTAAAAGCAGGTCAACTTAAAATGAACTGAAAAGCATAATAAAACAATAGGCACTTCAACTGCTCTGTACATTTTAGGGAATTTAACAGCTGCACTGTCTAATATTCAGAATGTTGAAATGATTTTCTTTGTGTGAAGAGCTCACAAACTTTTGCAAAGCTTCCATGCAAAACAGTCTTGTAGTGAAACATAGCTCATGTCGAATACTGTCAAATAGACAAGTGGGTAAAAACTAATTTCTCTCTCCTGGTCTGAGTTTGTTTCATTGCTCGTAATATTGTGTTCACTAGTGACAAGGGGGTAAGGTGTTGTATTGCAACGTGTTGCAATATCTGGATTCCATTAAATTTTAAACCTTGATTTGGAGGACTTTCTGAATGAGAAATTTAATGATGGGTAGATGAGCATGAAAAGGTCTAAGGTTCATCTTGCATAGCTGTCCAAAAGTAAACTTTCACATGGAATTACCAGCATTGCAGGTGCTATTGTTGGGCTGTGATATATTGGGAATTCTCTTTTGGTAAGTTTTGTTGTATCTGCTTGATTTGAAATGAAATGGCAGAGTTTTGCAGGAGGGTTTTTTATGAAGAAACAAGTAGTTATAGAAACAGTCCCCGCCATGCCTTCTCATATCAAAAGGGTGATAATTCCTTTGAATTAGGAGGGGAAGTGTGGTTCCTTTTGCACTCTTTCCAAACCGGTTCACTGGGCCATAATTAAGCTCAGAAGTACAGGAAAGATGTTTCTTTGCTTTTTGGGATATATTGTTCTTACCCAGCTGTTGATTTATAGCTTGAAGCCAATGTAGAATTCTTGTTCTCTGATTATCCTTTCTACAGTGAGACACTTAAGAAAAGAATGACTAAGTATGTGGGTGTGGGAGCAGAAAATTAAATCTGTCCCCTTGCTGAGAGGTTTTTGCAAAAATGTTTACCTGTCTTGGCTCTGATGGTAAAACTATATACTGTGCAATGGGGAAACAAGCAAAGTATTCTCTGTGGGATTGTGTGTATGTGCCCGCATGAGATGCACGCCTATGACTTCCGTGCAATGCACGTACTTTAAATCTGTAGCTGAAAGTCATAAATATTGCATGAGTTTTGTAGTTTTGTATGTCCAACCTTTTATATTATTTGTTTGAGGATTTTATAAATACCGATCACGAATTACTTTCTTCTGAAAGCTTCAGCCTGCTCTCCTTTCTATCTTAACAGTAAAGAACAGTTTTCTGCCTCATGTTCTGAACAGGCAGCACAAATAGCGGACAGTGCCAGGTGTGTGTGGTGTCTCTCAAATGCAAAGTGGGTCCCCAAGACAGCTATTGTGTTTTTCAGAAAGGTCATGTACAATAAGATGGAGTCCTTGAAGACCTCAGAGAAGAAGCTGGTCAAAATCAAGGTGGTTGATGGAAATATTAAGTGAAAATAAAACTCATTGGCTTTTTTCTTTTCAGAGGAAACTGCCAACCTCTTTGGCAAAAACTCTGATCTCATAGGGGGAAGAGAAAGTTCCTCCCCTTCTCTCTTCTTTTAGAATAAAAAAGCAAAATGGTCATGTTAAAGGATTGTGATATGTTCACCTTTAAAACTTAGGAACAGTCTTCCAAGAAAACAAACTAACTGGAAGGATACTTTGTGGGGAGGAGGACAGGAATTTTAGGGGTTCAGATCCCCAAAAAGCGAACATGGGGGCTTGTTAGAGCCATTTATTTACACAGATTTGCTGAAGAAGTGCTGTTTAGTTAGCGGAGTGTGTAGTTCTGGTCTGTCACTGCGGTACTTGCTGGTTCTAGTTTCTCCCCCTGACTGCTTGGCTGTATTTTGTCATTCCTTGGAAGTACGAAGACAAGATTATAGATAAACTTCTAAACCTTTTCAAGTATTTTCTCTATTAATATTATGTGGTGGTAAAAGTAATCTTTTTGGTGTGTGGTTTTTTTTTTTTTTTTTTTTT